TTCTGGGCCAGTTTTCACGTAGGATCAATAGGAATTTGCAAGAGTAATTCAAAGAGGGTCTACAAAGCGTGTTACAAGCTTTCTGGAAAGTCTGAGAACTTCTTCAGAACATGCTGGAGCAGGGAGATTCAAAGATCAGAAGTTGGATTTTGTTCTAAGTTACGTTGATGCTGAACTTCTGACCTAGAATTAAGCTATGATGCATAATCTCATATTGCAGGATTTCTGGTTTGATAAATCTCATCATCATTTAATGCTCACACCCACTTTTGAGTCTTTATCCAAAGGATTTCCCCACGTGTGGCATAGAAGTACCATGGTTGTCCTTGAAAAGCAAACTTTTGTATAAACTTTATGCTGGGCTCATGCTCTACTCTTTCTTCTGAGGGTACTTTTCCATAATTTATGCTTACAAATTTAGATTAGGCACGGCTAAAAGCTGTTAACCACCCTACTTTGTGCCTTGAACCATACTTGTTTGAACTTGCTTCAAGAACAAGTCAGCGCCCTAGTGTATGATGGTTGTACTCTTGGCTTCTCCAAGCTCCAAAATCCTTGCCTATAAATTGAACTTCATTTACAACTGTTAAAGGGGTCGAGAATTTAAGAAAAAGCCTTGAAACCTTGCTGAAATTTCCAAGAATTTGAAACTAAAAACTTAAACACAAAAACCTGCTAAGCTTTTGTTTCTTTTTACGCCCAAACTCTAATTTTCCTGCATAACTCTTGGCCAAATCACCCACTCAGCTTCTAACATACATTTAGAAACAATCCCAACTTCTGTTTACATACTGCAACTCAATCTCCACCAACTTCCATTTCAAAAAAATCAGAATATTGCTTCTTGGCTGCTCCAGAACATTACAACCATTCATAACTCAAGTGGTGGTTTGTTTCAGCTTTCTGGGAACGTGAGAAAGCTAACCAGAACATCACAGTAGTCAGAACTAGGCTCTAGCTCATAGAACATTTTCCAGCTGCAAGGTAAGCTTCTTCTGACTTTTATCATATTACTTATGCATTGTTAGACTTGCATTTTCAAAAAAGATACAATGTAGGCATCCCGACTCTAATTTTGTACATATTCATATATTTCATGTATTTTTGCCTAAGTAGAGAGAATTTCAGTTCAGAACTTCTTGAGGAATTAGGATTTAGAATTAGGATCGGCAAAATCCATGCTTGCTTTTGATTTACAGTCCTGATATTTTATGTTTCTGAAACCATGATGAAACCTGTCATAATTGTTATGTTTGCATTCTTCATTTTTGTTGAGGAATAACTAAGTTGCAGATGCTCTGGTTGGCATGAAGAAGGGGATAAAGCTCATCATCAGAACTTACTTTGTGTTATATATTTTTGTTTTTGCTTCTAATATCGGATGTATAGCCACCCCAGTGGTAGAGAATGAATGCTTAAAACATTAGTGTTAAGGGTCCTGAGTTCTAGCCCTAGAAACACCCTTTTTATGTTTATTTCCTAACATTTTTACCCCATTAGTTGAATCAGAACTTCTAGATCAATCCCCTTTAAATTGCTTTCCAAAACAGTGATCCTGGACCAGAATCTCTAGACATTCCCATCCAACAGCATTGGCACCTCACATACCCATTATCAGAACTTCTAGCTTGCCAATGACACTAGAACTTCTAGGATTTCCCATGTTCCCCACAACCCCAGAACTTTAGTGTACCCAGACCTAGAACTTCTAGCCTTCCCCTTTTCTGCTAACATTTTCTTTCTTGTAGCGTATCAGAGTCAGAGTTTCCGCCCCTTACTTATGTTCTCTCTTATTTCAACAATGCGTTGATTCTGATTCTTTTCCCTTTTATTATTTTTAATATCACTTCTATTTTCAGTCAAAAAACACCAAAAATATTTTTATATTCACATACTTTATTTTATTTCTTTTGAAACAAAAAGACCAAAAACATTTTAACTCCACTTGTTGCCTAAAAATGGTCATGTTATGCATGTGAGACGTCTTAGCAAGAACAATAAAAAATACAAGATCATAGTCTCTCGATGACGCTACAAATGTTGCCTTACAAATGATCTTAGTCCCTCAAGAGAAATGCTAAGATATCTTACAACATTACTATCATGACTATGCGATGACCCAGGCCCGTCCCTTTATATACAAATATAAAGCTTCTTGTCAATCAATGATAAGATAGAAATATCTAAGGAAGGAAGAAAAGAACAAAGACTTTCGAGTAGGTAGAAACCTTCTTAGTTGCTTGCTCATTTTCAAAACAAACATCCTTTCAAAACACACATCAAACACTTTCAAAACATGAAATATTTTCAAAAGCCCAACACTTTTTATACGTTCTTATGCGACGAGAACCATTTCAAAGTTTGCCTAAACGAAGGCGCTTTTTAAAAATACTTTCAAAAACTACCACAAAGCACACTTTCAAACAAAGGCAAGTGATCTAGCAAGCAACTAAGAGCCCATAGATAACTAAGGATGAAAAGGGTGCTAACACCTTCCCTTTTCATAACCTACCCCTCGAACTCAAGAAATAATCTCAAAGGTCTTTCCTGTTCTTTTCAGTCTTTCCTTTATTGGATAAAATAAAAGTCGGTGGCAACTCTTGCTAACCGCAACAATTATGATCAAAACGAAAACATCCCAAGTTAGTTCTCCCACCGTATTACAGCAATGAACAACATCAATGTACTACTCAACAATGATTCCCCATCTGAACGTATAACTTCACCAATATCAGACCACCACTGTAGATCCTCATCTGAACTACTCATCTCAATAATACATATGTAATTTCAACTCAACAACATGTAGTTTCTCATCTGAACTAAACATCTCAATAATACATATGTAAATACAACTTAATAACACACATATAATTATATATTTATTCCACATTACTACCAACAGGTAAAAACATTAACATATGTGTTCAACAACACTCATTAACAGAGTAAACATATTATTACTCAAATAAGCTCACCAACAGGGTAAGAAAATTATTATACATGCTCAACATTACTCATAAATAGAGTAAACAAATAATTCCACAACCTTTACTAGATCAACAGGGTCAACTCATAACCCATCAGAGTTCCTAAGGCAAACTCTATTCTTAAATCATCAGATTACTAAATTTTAATTCCAAACAAGTCATTAACATTACTCTAAACTACTTAATAACTCTTTTTTTTTTTAAATTTATTAACTTGATAGTCTTAAACAGATAAAAAAATGACTCAAACTCAACTCTAAAGTGTCATATAACATTAACTCTAACTTTAAATATGTCAAAGGACTCCAAACTCATTCAAATAGTAGCGACCGATCTCTGAACTAAAAATTACTCGAAACTCGTCGAACTGCATTGTGAAACCAGACATCATCAATCGACTGCCGCTCGTTTCACCTCCACCACCGCAACATTATTCACACGGCCACATCAGATCTAGCATAGCCCGTCGTCGTGGCTCAGCCACGCGACACTGTTTAGCTGGCCGCTGTGACACAATATTGTTCCCCCGACCTCCGCGGCTCTGTCGCGTAGAATTATTCAATCAGTCGTCACAGCTCCACCATGCGGCATCGTTCACCTAGCATCCTCCAATCCATTGTGCGACCCCCTACTCAATTTCCGAATTTTTCTCCAAACTTTCAAAATTTTCCTACTTTTTCAACTTTTCAACATTTATGATGTTTCCCTATTGTGTCGATCTATGACTGAGAGATAAATAACCATAAGCAAACTAAATTATAATTATCACGAATACATAAACTAACATTTGTTCATTCAGTTAAAATCAACCTTATCAAAAAGAATCAATAGGGTTCAAACCAACATCAACAGGTCAACTGAAAACATATATCATTTACTATAGGACAAAAGGAAACATTAACAGTTGAATATCTTAAAGGATTTTACCCAAACTTTTTTTGGCCACAAACATCAATCACAAATAAAAGAAAAGGGGGAAGATATGAGGGTAAGAACCCTTAATATTCTTCTATTTAGAAACCCATATATGAATAATTTCTCCTTACCTCAAAACTGTAGATCGATGAAACTTTTGCCTTTTGGGATTAGCTCTTTGATCCTTCCCACGACCACTCTAAATATTTTGCCTCTTTTCCACAAATTTTCACTAAAGTTCTTCTCAACTTAACTATTTATTTACCCTAATTTGATCCATTCTCCTCTCACGCCTCAATTCTTTTTACACACTTATTCTCTCTATTTTTCTAAAAAAACTATTTCTATTATTTAAATTAAATATAACTCTAATTTAAATAAAATAACACCAATATATAATTTTTCAATTTTAAAAAAACAACCCTAATCCTTATTATTTTAATAAATCTTACAAACACCCCACCTCTTACTTATTCCACATTTTCTCTTAATTATAAATAAATACTAATTTTCTCCTCAAACTAATTATTCTCGCATTTTCTATTATTTCTAATATTAAAAATTAAATTAAATTTAATTATTATAATTAAATTTCTACTCCTCATCAAATAGTTCAATAAATTAAATAAAACACTCTAATAAATAATATAGAACAACTTAATTCTAACTTATTAATAACCCACGATTTCTCACTTCTACACATATTTTAATATTATAAAACTCTACTCAAAATTCCTCAACTTAATTAATTAAACTAAAACACTCCAAAACTCTATTAAAAATAAAATACTAAAATTTGAGTGTTACAATTTTCACTAAAGTTTTGGATACAAATCATTTTGAAGAACTGAGGTGTGCCCTTGGTATTTGTATCTGTAAGGATCTATAGCAATCAATGTTAGGGAGTTGTACCAAAAGAGAAAAGTGTTTCTCTCTCCTAATACCACTTTGGCACAAAAAATAAGGTGGATTCTTTTGTTATCTCAAGTGAGGCATAATTGTGTTGTCGTTATAAGCAAAAAAAACAAACATTTTGCCTTATCATGCTCTCAGATTACAAATCTCTCACTGATCCTTCAAAGTCATCCTGACAACATGAATCAATTTTCTGATGATTCGTCTAAACAATCTAGTGGGAGCTTACCTGCTAAAGAAATTGAGGTTCCTAAGAATGTTGGTGATGCATTAGGGTCTTGGTTAAATAAGACCAAGGAAACTGGAGATGTTAGGAATAAGATCACCATTGCCGAACCTTCTGGTGGAACATATGACACTAAGAAGATAATGATTACAAATGTGAATCCTGAGAAGATGGGGACTCTAGATAGATGAAGATTGGGATAACTTCAGGGATTCAATTAGGCATAAAGACTGAAGGCTTCAATGGTGAAATGAGCTTCATATTTTGAAGATTAAAGGTTTATTTTTTACAGTTCAGTTTAGATGCCCTTGTATTTTTGGAATGTTTTTTAATTTGTAAATGCATCAAAGCCTTTTAAGATTATGTAGTATAACTGATCTAATGCTTTTACATTTGTTGATGTTATTCTGGATGTTCTAATCATGATCTGGTTGTGTATGAACTAACATACTAACCTATGCATGACTGACTTTTGGTTGCTATTTTGAAGTGCTAAATCTTTTCTAAATTATGACAAAAGGGGGACCTAGTGATGTGGTGTGATCTATATTAGTTAGTGTGAGTAACTAATAAGTAACATGTCCTTGTTTAGTATTGACTATTTGGTAATGCTAATAATATGCTCACATGCATGTGCTCACATGCTGTAGCACCAGGCAAGATATTTGGCCCTTTTGGAGTGAGCTTTTGTGTTAGTATTATGCATATTCTGATACTAACTACTAACTATTTATGTTATGCATGACTAAGTATATGAATGATTTCATGTTGATAATTGTTAGTGGGTAGGATTATATATTACTAATTATGTGCTGACTGAATATCATGCATGACTAATATTGTGAATGATTGCATGATTGAATGACAGGTTATGGAGCATTGTTATTGTGTGGCATCTGTTCTGAATGCTACCAATTTTTTGTTGTTGTGCTACAACTCTGATGAAAGTTGTTGTTGTTGATGGTAATGCATGCTCTGAAAGACTTTTGATGTATGTTATGTGTTCTTATTGAATGATTGTTGTTTATCTTGAAGATTTGTTTTGCCAAAATTTGCCAAAGGGGAGATTGTTGTTCCTTTTTTGGATTGGCTACATTATGAAAAAAATAACACAGAGAAGTGTTGAAGATTGCTCAGCTACTTCAAGTTGTTTTTTGGTGCAAAAGGGACACATGTTGGACATGATGCCACAACATGTGGGTATGACATACGAGCCTTTCTCAACATGCCAGAATGTTACATTTTGGAAGGATTTTCTATTGAAGATTTAATTAGATTTTATTGCTTTTATTTAGCAATATGATTATATGATTTGTTGGACAGTTGTGAAGATCAAATCATATTTAAATGGATATTTGAATGTGAATTTGAAAAATACCAATCATATAATTTTGTTGGAGATATTTATGGAACAAATTATATCCAACTGATTATGCAAATATGCTGGACAAAATCAAATAAAATATCCAAGGAGAAAAGCCTATAATACTTTGCTATATAAGGAGCTCAAACCTACATTGGAAAGCAAGCAATATTCATTGAAGATCTTTAGAGTGTTGGGGTTTATTTGAGTCCTTGTTATTTATTTATGTACACTACATTATGTTTTGGTAACTTGGCATAGTTATAGGTTTGTCTATTTGATTTATAAATCAATATTCGACATTGTTTAGTGGAGTTGATCACTAGGATTTAGAAATTAAGAGAAAGTGAGAGGCGTTCTCATATTTAGGGGGAGACCTAAATATAAAGTTATTTGGTAGTGTTAGGAAGAAGCATTGAACAACATGGGATTGTTATTCCTATAAGACTAAGTGTAATAAACTACTAATAGCGAACTTCCTTTCTTTGGTTGGGAGCCAACCCTCCAAACATAGGTGTTGTTGCATCGAAGCAGGTTACCAATTATTATGTGCTTCATTACTTTTCTTCATTATCATATTGTACAAGTTAGATTGTATTAATTATGGTGATTCTGGTTTAACTTGTCGAACCAGTTGTCCAGGACATCGCGTTCGACATTTGTCCCTTGAGGAATAAAATTGCAGATCCTAAGACCAACCTTTATGGAATTCGTTCCTATATTTGGATGGATCTAAACCATGGGGCTAGAAAGGAGATGGTTATCCCCCAGAGGAACACATAATCTAGAATGGGCTTCCAGAATCTAAGGGACAACTAAGAAGTAGCAATCCTGAATTTCTTCAAGCTATAAACATAAAGGTCAAACACATTCTTTGGTTAACAAAGTCAAAGAAACCCTTGCCCCACTACACTATGGAAGAATGTGTTTCACACTGAAGATGTCTAAAAAAAACTTTAAAGTTGGTCCTTCATTTAGGTACTCACACCAATGTCATAATACTTTCACGAAGGCCCAGGCAACCAGATGCAATATGAAATTTCTCTGGTACAAGCAACACATGGTAATACTGACTTTTAAACATCAGAACAATGTCAAGACAGATGTTACAACATCTAATTTAGCATCCTGAATAAATTCATCAATTTATCATAAAATACTGAAACTTAAACTGCAGAATAATAAATAACACATAGAGGTCTTAACCCAGTTCGGTGCAAACTCACCTACATCTGGGGGATACCAAGCCAGGAAAGAAGTCCACTGTCAACAGTATTAGTTCAAAGCTAAACTCCTCCATTTATAACTTCCCGCCTAATCCTTACCCAATGCAATTTCTACCCAGGTCCTCTCTAAATATGAGAAATTTCCATCTCACTTCCTAAATCACCTCAGTGATATCTAACAGTCTCAATCCTAGTCATTGTATTGAGTCTAACTTAACGAGAATATCATACTTCCATTACAAATAGAAGATCATACTTCCATTACAAAACATAACCAAGACTCTTGACCAAGAATAATACTTGAATTTTCTTAAAAGCTTCATCCAAGAACAATACTCAACTCATTGCCTAAAGGCTTCCGAGTAAGAACATAATATCAACCACAAGTATCAAAAGATATAAGGGTGACTTTCACTACACAATAAACAAGAGACTCTCAAAACCTAAGACTTATGCTTCCCCTAATTTTACAATTTTTGAAAACTTAAATTACATTAGGTTATGTCTTCTTTAAATATAGTTCTTCAATCCATGGGCTTTGAAATCTCCATCAGATATTTCTTGATCCACAAGTTGAGAGTTGTATCTGTTGTGCAACAAAATCTCATTAAATATCAGAACAACCAATACAAAGTTTCCTAAATTGTCTCAAGGCCCAATTTAGCAACCAATGGACAATTGGAAATATAAAACCTTGTTCCATATAAAACCTTCTTGACCTGCAAAGTTTATGGAAACATATCTAAAAGAGATATTCCAGAATAAAATTAAATTTGTCAAGATTTAGAACAACATTGTCTACTGTACTCCAGTACCAGATCAAGATGTCATGACATTAAACTTCAACATCTGACTGAAAACACATAACAATAAAATGGTTATGACAGTTGATAAAGATTCTACAACATCTTACTCAATAACAACATAGAACCATGTTTAGAAACATGCCTAGCCAAAATTTAGCCAACCATAAAAACATAGAACTAACAATCTCCCCCTTTGGAAAAATTTGTCTTAAACAACCAAAACCCAAAAACATATTCTGGAGAGAGGAATAAAACCACAAGCACAAACTGCACAAAAACATGTAGCAAAGATACAATAGTTACACAATACCAGCTACACGCTGATCATGTAAACTATGTACATGAGGAATAAGATTGATATTACTCCCCCTTAAACATAGAACCAATTCTTGACACAGAGAGATAAATCTCCCCCTCAATAACACAACACATCAAAGGCACATGTAGCAGAAGCTGCCACACATAACTCATAGCAGAAGACACAACAATACTCATAAATCAGACCACAAGACACAACAAATAAGATGTTACAACATCCTATAGGACATCCTGTAGAGACTACAACAGAAGTAGCAGCAACATCAGAAACAGGACAGAGACAGACACAAACAACCCTAAAGTGTTGCATAAGGCAACAACACTTGACTAGACTCAATAACACCTCCCCCCCTTTTTTTAGCCAAAAATTGACAAAAAAAGATTGAAAAGAAACGTACACACTAAAAACTAATAGAAGCAAGATTTGATTCAAGACAAATAAGAAAAACCAAAAGAAACTGACTCAATAAAAACACAAATTATATCAAGGGAAAAGAACTCCCACAACCAGGACATACAACAACAAAAAATCCCACAGAAACAAAGAGTAAGTCTAAGTTTCTCCCCAAAACAGAATAAGACTCAAAACTTGATGCAGGACTAGAAGCATCAACTTGAATTAAGGAAAACCAACTTCCCCGAGAAGGACTGACTAAAAAAAAACATACCTTTTTTCTATTTTTTATAACAGATGGCATATAACAGCTATCCCACACCCTCAATCTTGATCAGCCTCTGAGTCTGAATCATGTAAGATCACATAGTTTTTCTTGAGGGACTTCCCCTTAACAATGTGTTTTCATTGTCCTGGATGTTCCATTAGATGTTACAACATGCGTAACAATGTTGAACACTACTTTCTTTGAACCATAACCCACTTCCGTCTTGATATACAACATAAGAGATTTCCTTTTCTTTTGCATCAACAATGTTAAAACGCAACTTGTGAGGATGATGAGGTTGTAAGGTCTTTAAATACAAGTAAAGTTACCTATGTTGTAACAAAACCTTGCTTGTAACAACACTTCAATTAATGAAAGCTTTTATGGAGGAAGATAAGATTATCCTTAGTAATAGTGAACCACTCACCATAGGAGAGATACACATTATTCTTTAGCTTTCTCTCTTTCCAAGCTTTGACTCCTTGAAAAAATGTTACACCATTTGAAATGAAATTTACCATGCCATTGAAAATGAATCTTCTGAGATTGCATACTCCAATAGGTAAAATAATATAGCTAGAAGACCGTACAAACAGTTACTCCAATAATTCTTCAATAGTGCAATTCCAAAATTACCCCTCATATTCTCAATGTAACTTGCACCTCAAGTTAAGATGAAAATACTTCCAGATCTTCTAAACTAAACCAAGTTTAGGAGTGTAAATATAAACCTGTAGCAATATCACTGGCACAAAGATGACACGACCAATGACTTTGTTCTGCAGGCATAATAAAATCCTTGTACCTTGATTGCAG